AAAAAATCAATAACGCGTTTAATTGCGCGGATATTAGGAAAGAAAATCTAATACGGGGATTGGAGATTAAATCAGGGATTTGATTTCATTACTGAATAGGTCGAACTGTACTTTACCTTGAGCGTAGTGAAGGATATTAGGGATTTCTACTGTGAGAAATCAATGGCGGGAGCCGTGACAATACGACGCCTTGTGGAACATGATGAAGAAGAAGAAGAAGAAGTATTTAAGGGAATAAATAAAATAGAAAAATGAAGTGGTGTCGAGATGAAAACTTAACAGAGATGAACACGTCCGAAGAAATTGGTCGACATGACCTATTCAAAACAACATAAGGAATATAAAAATTAATGTAAATAAAAATAAAATTATTAATACGAATAACACTAAAATCATGTAAATCCCCGTGTATATTGGAGTGTATTTAATTACAATTTTTAAAGACTTTTTAAAATTTTAGAAATTTTGGTGTATGTAATGCTCCTTTATTTTTATTTTTTTTTTTGTGAATTCTATCTTTCACCAAGATGAAATAACTTTTGTTTAAATCAAGGCTTCGAAAAATATTGTGAGAGTCATCGTGCTCATAAATTTTTTCATACGATTGTAGGTTTTCATACGATAGCTCCAACCGTGATGGTTCCCATTAAAATCTGAATACGCCAACTCGTCTCGTCGATAACAATCTATCTCAATAGCTCTACGTGCATCATATCTCTCGAACAAAAGTGGGCAATCGTCGGTGACATGTCTTGTGGTACGATATAGAGGACATGGTCATTAAAGTTTGACGAACACTCTCAATGGCTCCTTGAATCATAGTTGATATCTTAACGTCCCGATCATCATAGCATGTGTCTCTTGTTTCCTTCCTTCATAATATGAATTGTAATCACAATTCATGCCCTAAGATGCATCTATTTATATGAATACCACGTGCAAAAGAAAAAAAAAATAATACAAAGGATTTAAAAGAGTAAAAGAAAAATAAAATAAATTAAAATAAATATTAATAGAATTACTTGTTTTAATTAACACTAAATCACAACTCAATTGCGTCACTCCTCAGCAGCGGTGCCAAAGTTTGGCCACGCTTGCGACGCGACAAATTTGAATTTATAAAGTTTTTTTTAACAAATCTCCACTAACTAGTAGTAGCGACAAGTAAGAGTCGATCCCACGAATTTCAAGAATTGAACTATGACTACTTGGCATTAATCGAATTAAAACTATGAAGACTATAAAAGATTGAGGGATTTGTTTTAATAAAGAATAACAAAATAAAATAAAATTCAAATAAAATGAGAAAATTCAGTTATCACCTATATTAATCTACCATTAATTAATTTTAACGCCTTTCTTAAATTGCTAATAAGTTAGCAACTCCAGCTAACAAAAAACTATGTTAACTTAATTTTTGCTTACCGAATATTTAACTGAAATAAGCTCTTCGACTAAATCTAACTAGTGGTCATCCTAGTATAACCTCTCCAGATTTAATACACTAGCAGCATTAATTCCTATTAAAATATATTAGTCTAAGCAACAAACGCGTATGTTTGGGCCGTTTCATTTATGTTCACGTTACCCTAGAGATGCATACCTTTTAGTTTAATAATTACATATTAAAACATCGTCTCTAGCAAATAAATAATGAATATATAACGTAACTAGTTGAACTAAATCAAACACTCATAATTTAAAAGATAATAAAAATAGATAAAATGAATCAACTCATCAACCAAATAAAAACACGGTTCGATTAACCAACTATAAACAAAGATTCTTAAATTTATAGACAAATTCAAGTTAGGGTTCAAACATCCACTCGAAATGAATAAAATACTAGTCTAACATACTAACAAAAATAAATAATAGGTAAAAAAGACAAAATACATATTTCTCTCGTGTGCGAGTGCGGCTCCCTCCGTGCATGTGTAGCCTCTTTTGTCCTCCTCCTATTGGCGCGACGTTGTTTTTATGAATTGTTAAATACCGCCCCCACGGACCGTTTTGCCCCTGACTGTTTTCCAAAACACTAAAAAAAATCCGGCCGGCCGATTAATATATATATATTTTTTTCAAATCAACTTTTTATTTATTATAGAAAGTATGTTAGAATTTAGAAAGTATTATGTTATAAATTAGAAACTTAGAAATCTTTATGTTATAAATTAGAATTAATTATCTTGTAAAATTATTTTTTACATTATTTAAAATTTAATTAGTATTAGAAATAAGTTTTTATTTATGGAAAAAATTATTATTTTTAAATCTAACTATTAACTGTTATATTTTTTAATGTATGTTTTAGTTAGTAGACAATAATTATAAATGCTATATTGTTTTTTTTACATATAAATAGTATTATGTTATATAACATAATAATTTGTAAGTTCTAACATAATAATAAATTTCTATCAGACAATCCATTATAATTTATAATATAATAATTTTTAAGATCTAACTATAAAATAATAAATTTTAATTTATAAAATAACATTATCTAAATTCTAACCTAATTTATATAATAAATAAAAATTGATTATTAAAAAAGAGTTGCGCGGCCTACCGGCAAAACCGGTCGTGCACGCGACCAACTGGCAAACTTGGTCGTGCACGGTGCGGCCAACCGGAAATTGTTGTTGTACATGGTTACTGTTGGTTTTCCTGGCCGGCCAGCGAGAGATTTTTTTTTTCTCCTTTTTAGAAAAAATGTTTGGACCAAAATTGTTCAGGGCGGTAGGTCATAGTAATAAGGGGCGATAAATAGTAACACCTTATTTTTTTATTCTCAACTTTTGTCGTTGGCGTGAGTATTCGAGTCTGTTTGTTTATGGAAATTTTTAAAAATTTCCAACATTTTAACTTAACCACTTTCTTTTTAACTCGACTTTAACTCAACACACTATTATCAATACTAGTATTCAATCTTGTGCACATGCACATAGCGAAACGAAAATCTATATATAATATGATATTCAAAAATTTAAATTGGATAAAGTGCGTATTACATTTTAAAATTCTGACTTGTAAATGTATAATATAAATATAAATTATTTAACTTCCATATAAATATATATATTTTTTTTATTGTATAACTACAATATAAAATAAACAATATAAAATAATTTAATATTGCATATTCAGAAAATTTAAAATTGTATAGTTGTTATATAATAAAAAAATAAAAATAATAAGATTTTACTTTTGTAACTGCCATTTGAATGCTGGTCATAAAAATTATTATTAAATGAAGTCCTATTTTTATTAATTGTTAGCTGAATAAAATTAATTGAAGTCTGCCAGCAATTATATATATAGATTATCAATATAATTAAACAATATCAGTCAATCATTCATACACACTACATCAATCTTAATTCATTGTTCATCCACTCACATTATTTTAACTAACCATCACATCAAACTATATATCTCATACTTTTATATCAAATTATTTTAATTTTTTTATTTTAAATATTATTTTAATATAACACTAACAACTAATCATACTACTTTTCTTTTAAAATTAAACAAGCCAAACAAAAAATCCAAGCAAAACCAAAATTTTCTATAAACAAACATGTTCTTCGCATCTCAAATAATTCACAAGTTGGTTTTTTTTTTT